GCCTGGGTCCCGAGGAAAGAAGTCAAAGGGGCCTGGACCTTGGATTCCCCAGGGAGCCCCCACTGAGACCCCATGATTGGGGCGGGGTTCAGGTGCAGGGAGAGAAAGACAGGAGGCAGGCCTGGCTCTGGGAGGGGTGAGTGTGCGTGAGGGCTGCTCTTCAGACCCTCAGCTAAGCCCCCACGCGCTTACCTCCCAGGGCAAGTTCATCCGCATCAACTTTGACGTTGCCGGGTACATCGTGGGCGCCAACATCGAGACCTGTATCCTTCCCGGCCTGGGGGTCTGGGGGCTGCGGGCGGGCGGCCGGGGAGGGAGGTGCTCGGGATCTCACCGCTTCCAGGGAACAGGCGTCTGTCTACACGCACAGGAAGCCCTGGCTCCCCGCTGCGCAGACACCGTGCCTCAGTTTCTCCCTCAGTGGAAAGGGAAGGATCACAGAACCTCAGGAAAGGACAGAGACGGCATCTCCACGTGGAGGAGGAGGGCAGGGGCTCCCGCTGCTTTTAGGGGAAGGCGGGCCCAGCCCCGCTGGGGGGCGGTGGGTCGGGGTCCCCAGCACCATCTCCGGGTTCGGTGACCCACTCGGAGGACTCACAGGCCTTGGCACAGTCACGCTCACGCCCTGATTCATCACCGCGGAAGGACACCGCACAGTTAGCCAGGGAATCAGCCCGGCTTCCAGACCCCTCTCCCGGGGCAGCCACAGGGGCACGCGCGTCCCTCAGCAGAGAGAGGGGCCAGGAAGCTCATCAGAGGTGCGGCGCCCAGGGTTTTATTGGGGGCAGGTCCCCAGTCAGCACCCCCTGCCCAGAACATGCCCGTCCCAGCTCCCAAGGGAAAGCAGATGCCAGCAGAACTCGTGGTCGGCAAACCGCGGCTCGCGAGCCACATGCGGCTCTTTGGCCCCTTGAGTGTGGCTCTTCCACAAAATACCATGTGTGGGCGCGCACATACAGTGCGATTGAAACTTCGTGGCCCAGGCGCAGAAGTCGGTATTTTGTGGAAGAGCCACACTGAAGGGGCCCTCCTCTCTGAGCCCGGGAGGCGGGTTCCGTCACCACCCCGTGTAACAGGAGGGAACTGAGGCTGGGGCTCTCTGCACCCAGGGTCACATGGGTCGTGTGCGCTTCCCTCACCCTCCCTGCCCTGTGCAACCCTCCCCCCTGCTGCTCCCCGTTTCCCAGGGGTTGGTGACCCCAGGGTTTAAGTTAATGGACAGCCTGGGGCCAGGCTCTGTGTTAACGACTGTCATGCAACATACGTGCTCCGTGGTCCACGCGCAGGGGGTACGGAGGGGTGAAGGAGTTGTTGGGCGTTTTATTTACCCTGATGTGTCTCGGATTGTTAGTATGTGAACGAGTCACATGGCTTTCCTAGAAGGGAGGAGGCAGTAGCCCCGATATCCGTGCAGGGAAACTGAGGCTGGCGGGGCGGGGGGTGGGGTACTGATGGCAGGAGATGTTCTTACTGTAACGCGTTTACCCCCCCAGCGACCTGTTGGTGGGTGTTGTGATCAAGCCCCTTTCACAGATGAGGAAACTGAGGCACAGGGTTTCAGTGACGTGCTCAAGGCCGCTCAGCCAGTCAGTGGCAGGGCCCTGGGCGGGGCCGTGAAGGACTCCACCGCCTTACGGGATAGCAGGGGGGCCGAGGGGATCGAGGGGGCCTGGGGGGGTCCCCTCAACCCTCTTCTGCGGCACCTTGACTCGCTCCACCCAGATCTGCTGGAGAAGTCGCGGGCCATCCGCCAGGCCAAGGACGAGTGCAGCTTCCACATCTTCTACCAGCTGCTGGGCGGCGCCGGCGAGCAGCTCAAGGGTCCGTGTTGCTGCTGGGCCCTGGGAGGAGGCGTGGGAGGAGGAAGGGGGGCCCTGATGCCTGTTCCGCTCCTGCCGGGCTCCTTGACTCGCTCCACCCAGATCTGCTGGAGAAGTCGCGGGCCATCCGCCAGGCCAAGGACGAGTGCAGCTTCCACATCTTCTACCAGCTGCTGGGCGGCGCCGGCGAGCAGCTCAAGGGTCCGTGTTGCTGCTGGGCCCTGGGAGGAGGCGTGGGAGGAGGAAGGGGGGCCCTGATGCCTGTTCCGCTCCTGCCGGGCTGTGAATGCTGTCACCTCCTGGATCCCGCGGCCCCTGGTTCCTGTCGCCTCACGACTTGTGCCCACAGAGTCCCGCCACCCGCCCTGGCCCCCGCTGCCCTCTGGCCCTGCTGCCTCCCGGGTCTCGATCGCACTGGCCCGGTGGCCACGCGGCTCCTGCTCACGCTCACGTCTCTCTGCTCACTCCAGCGGGTGTGACTCCAGCTTTGCCGTGGCTCCCGCGGCCTCTCCTCCCCGTGGTCCTGGCCTGGGCGGCTTCCCGGCTCTCCTCGCTCTGCTGCTGCCTGAGGTTCTCCTGCCTCTCGCTCACGCTCCTCCTGCCACTCCTCCCGCTCCCGCTTCTCCTGCCGGTGGCTACGACAGCGGCCCCCACTATCCCCGCTGCCCGAGGCTCCTCTCATTCTGGCTCCTGCCCCCTTCCTGGCCCCCCCTCACCCAGACTCCCGCTCACAGTGGCTTCTGAGCCGCACGCCCTCTGCTGCTGCCCCTGCCGTGGCTTCTGCTAACTCGGGGCCCCTCCGGCCCATTGCTTCTGCCGACCAGCGGCTCCTGCCGGCTCTGGGCAACCCCGGCACAGGAGAATCCCTATGGGAGGAGGGAAGACTAATGGTCTAAGACGTGCTAAGTAAGCGCCCACTCCACCCCCAGTCCAAACCGGGCCCGTGAGGAAAGACTCCTCCCTCGTTTCCCCGAGGAGGAGACCGAGGGTCCCAGTGGGGAAGGGGCTGGCCTGGGGTGGCCTCCGAGGAAGCTGGGATGTGAGTCGACCTCCACCGTTCGCCCTTGACCTCGGCCCCCACTCCTTCCCCTGCAGCCGACCTCCTCCTGGAGCCTTGCTCCCAGTACCGCTTCCTCACCAACGGGCCCGCGTCCTCCCCCGGCCAGGAGCGCGAGCTCTTCCAGGAGACGCTGGAGTCCCTGCGTGTCCTGGGATTCACCCACGAGGAGATCACCTGTGAGTGTGCCCTGGGCCCGCGAAGGGTGGGGGTGGGCTCTGCATGGGCAGGCAGGGTGTGGGGGGGTGGAGGGCTGGCCATTCATTCCTTGGATTATTCACTCGAGCGTTTATTGAGCAAGTACTGTGTGCACACACTGGGTATGAGACCGATAAGCATTCCTGCCTCCGGGAGACTGGCTAAATGAGAACTACAATCCAGATAAATCAGGAATTCTGTGCTCTCCCAGAAGGCGATGAATGCCAGGGAGGGAAATAGAACCAGGGATGGAGCGGGGAGGAGGGGACAGCTTTAAGTAGGGAATCAGGAGGGGCCCACGGAGATGGTGAGCAAAGGCCTGGGGGAGCTCAGGGAGTGAGCACTGGTGATATCAGGGAAGAGCGTTTCAGGCAGGGGAGCCGCCTGTGCAAAGGCCCTGGGGCAGGGAAGGCATGGCATGTTTGAGGGATGAGACTTCCGTCTACTGTGTGATAGAGGGGAGTGAGGGATGGAGCTGCAGAGGCAGGCGGGGCCTCTAATTCCAGCCTGAGGAGGGGCTGGGGCTTGTCCTGGGAGCCTTGGGAAGCCTTGGAGAGCTCGGGGCAGGCCAGGGGCAGCTCTGGGCCATGCGGAGGATGGATGGAGGTCGGGAGGAGGTGGAGGCGAGGGTGCAGGGAAAATGGTGTTGTTCCGGGTGTGGGATACTCGGATCGTCACCTTGTGTGATGCTGGTTTGCCCCTGAGCTTGTCACCAAACAGTGTGTTTTGACCCCAGTCCAGCTGCAGTGCTATATTTGCTCACTAGGCCACCATAACAAAGGACCCCACCCCGAGCCCCTCAAACGGCAGGAATGGGTTGTGTCGCATTGTGGCGGCCGGGAGACCAGGCGTGGGCAGGGTCGGCTGGTCCTGGGAGAATCTGTCCCCTGCCCCTCCCCTCGCTTCTGGTGGTTTCCTGGCAACCTGCCCAGTGCCTGGGCCTGTAGGAGCGTCACCTGATCTGCCTCTGTGTTCACATGGCGCTCTCCCCGTGCGCACACCTGTGTGTGCAACTTCCACCTGGTGTAAGGACGCGCACCCCGTCCCACTGGATTAGGGGCCCAGTGCGACCTGGTCTTAGCTATAGTGATGTCATCTGCCATGACCCCACACCCAGATGCAGCCTCATCTCTGAGGGGCCCTGGGGCTAGGGCTTCAGCATACCTTTTGGGGGGAGGGCATGATTCCTCCCATAACAAGCACATAGAGGTTGACCTTCGCCATGTTCCGGCGGCAGCCTGAGGTTCTGGGGTTTGGGTGGCCTGTGGTTTTTTCACTGAGGAAAGACCCTGATTTCCAGGGCAGGGCAGGGCCGGGCCGGCCTCGTTCTCCTCTGGTCCCTGGCGCTGCGGGAGGCCCCGGAGGCCGCGGTTGGTGGCTCCAGGGCCCAACTGGGAGGGCTGCGGACCGAGAGC